CCCCAAAACCCCAAAACCCCAAAACCCCAAAACCCCGAGATGGGGGTGGATAGTTGAAGGAATGATAGAAGTGGGAGTTATGGAGTTGAAAGGTTTTTAGGGAATTTTGGAGGGGTTTTGGAGGTTGGGAGAAGGCAGAGATGGATTTGGATGTGTTTAGAGGCAAGAGGGAGGGGTTTAAAGGTTAGTAGATTTTCAAATTCGTTATTTTTGATCATTTTGAGAGAAGTTTGATAAGAAATGAAAGATTTGTGGACTTGGTGATTTCATTGAGGAAGCATATAATAAACTTTTAATTAAGATTCAGATGCAGGTGAATTAAAATTGCTTCATTATCTTCAAATTCTACCTAAAATTATAAACACTATATTATCTTCATATCCAGCTTGAATTAAACTTTTCAAAAATTCTGATTAAATTATTTTAAGTTCACTTGAAGATCAAGGAAATGAAAGATCTATCCATAACTTATTAGAAGAGTCTGAGCCTTCCTTTCACTTATACTATCCGCTTCATCTTGATATTATACCATGAGAATATATCTACGAGCTCTAAATTCAATTTGGTAAATTTCAAAGTTCATTTCCTTTGAAAATGACCCGATTCGTCCATTTTTATTGCTACTAAGTTCGAAAAAGAGAGATCCTAAATATCTCTGGACTAGCAAATAGAGTATATAATAACTTTCAATCCAAATAGATTTCTTCATGCTGTCTCTTCCTCAACCACGAAAGGAAATTAGCTTCACCACACACCCAAAATCTAGCAAGACTTTTCTGTTTGTTCAGAGTCATTGTAGTGACACGAAAAATTGTTGAAACTTTCTCAAAGTCTACCATTGAAACGCCACTCCTACTTAGGATTACGGCTTCTCTATCTGCATGCTAAGGTCCCAGGCTAAGTCCATGGCCAATATCGCTGACTAGAGATGCATACAGGAGGCTATTTCAGGATTATGAATAAGCGGTAGAAGTTTTTATTCATACTTTTCACCACTCAGAGTTTTCTTACTATTTTTAAATTAAAAGAGAATCTTGCTATTAGAGTTTTTAGTTACCCTCAACAAGAGAGAGCCTATCCTTTCTGCTGTGATTAGCTTCAGATTTAATAAGAGTTGACAAAAGATTCTTAGTCTCTGAGATTTCTTATAGCAGCTAAAAATAACCATTTCTACTTCATCTTCCGGGTTCATTGCTGTAAATTATTATCATTAACAAAGTGGTAAAAATATGGTAGATTATGAAACTAATTCTATTTTTCACACTCAAAGAAGCGTTGGAATCAAACAACTCTATTCATAGTGTTATTGAAGCCCTTTCTTAATTGATGACAATAAGCCAGCTAAATTTTAGCTCAAAAAATAAGATAAACTGCTTCCTAACACCCTGATGAATCCACTCACAAGAGAAATGAAGGTTTCTAATAATTACTTCAATTGGATTTAAGCAAGTAAAATTTGTTATCTACTCTATTTAAAGTATGAAAATTACGATAAAAGTCGAGCTATAGTCCAGGGATGACTCTAAAGCTCAATTTTGAACTCTTTTTGGAAATATCCTGGATACTTCGAGCTTTCACTCTCACATTCATTATATCGAAACTTTTCGAATTTAGAATCTGACATCAATTAAGAAATGTAGAGTTATAGCAAAAAACACGAAGAAAGCATTCATCATCTATTTTGAAAATTATAAATATTTTCTAAAGTAGGAGAGACTTCCACATTTATAATTAAATCTTCTAACTATAGGCTTCAAAGGATTATGATTAAGTTGACTTCTCATATAGATGGCTTCTCACTCCAGATTTGCAGTCAGAAACCTAAATAATATATCTGGAGATATTAAAGTGTGGATATAAGGGGACAAGCTTGCCAATAACAGATATCCTCATTGCTAAAAGCACTAGTCTAAACTACGTTAAGGTTGATAACCTTCTGGATTTTTTCAGAATTTTCAATCCAGTCTTAGACTTCAACTAATTTTTCAGCTTAGTCTCGTAACCTCTTGTTCTCATACGTAAAAACTGCGATATTTCTTCCAATGAAGATATCCCTCGTTCCTTTCACCAATAAGCCTATGAAAATTTCCCATATCTTGAAAAATTGACGCAGTTGGTGAAGCCTTTGTTCTGCTGAAACCTGGTTGAAACTGGCAGCTGAACAATGGAGCTAGCTCTGTTTTAAGACTGTTAACATAAATGATAAACTATAGAGTCTCTTACATGACAAGCACATGTACGATAGAAAGGTACATGGGTCTCTGAGAGTACTTCCCTCTGGATTATTCTAAAAATGTTTCTATCTCTATGTTTTCTTTCACTCTCAAATTTTTTTGTTCTTGGGCTGCCAAGAAAGCTGAACTAATATATTTATTAGATAATAAGGCTAGTGAAGCTGAGAGAGTCTGATAAGTCATAGGATGGCCAAGAGAGTTGATGGTTTACCATAGGGCTTCTTTTGAGCAAGTTATTGCTCCTGAAATGTATCAAACAAAAATGGCTGACGATGACTCCAAAGAAGACTATACTAATTTTATTAACCCTGAAACTCCAAACATGAAAACTTGGGTAGAGCTAATGCTTTCTCAAATTGTTATATCTTGTCATCAGGATACGCAGCCAGACGATGATATATAAAAGCTACCAAATCGATTATAATTAATAAAGAAAATGTTATCCAATTGCACAAACAATCCAATGAATGTTGCCCAGAATATGGCCATGGTAAGTTGAGAGCTCCCAAACCTGATCTAACTTGAGTTTGGTATAGACTTATTATGACGCTCTTGAAGCAGCACTATCTGAAGTGTTCAACCAATTCTGTTGGGGTTGAGAAGCTTCACAATCACCACAAGCCATGATTGCTCAGTCAAAAGCTCTGAATATCAGGAAGACCACAATAGGGGATCTCAGTATGATGAATGATACACAATGTGGCTCTCCTGTGAAACAAACGAGCATCAAGACCAAAAAGACGAGGAAAACTCTCCCTTGTATTGCTAAAAATCTAAACATGATCCTCCAAATGGTTGAGTGCAATCAAGAAGTGAGCTTCACCGCAACCACCAAGAGCTCCAGAGGCCTTCACAATGGAACCTCCAAGAGGAGATCCAGATATATTGGAGTCCTCGGCAATGGCACTCGTTGGCAAGTCCTCATTAATGTCCGTGGCAAGAAGAAGTACATCGGAACCTTCGGAAGCGAGAAAGAAGCCGCCATTGTGCACGACTTCTACGCCATCGGACTTAACGGACTTGAAGCTAACACCAACTTTAGCTACGATGGGATGACAGTACAAGACATGATCATGAACTACTTCACTAATGATAGCTGTTTCACTCCATCTGAGTTTGCAACCAGAGTCTAATCATTAACATAAGCAGCCATGCTGCATTTTTGTAACAAGTTGGTAAAGATATTGTCAATAGCTTTTGATAGCTACGGGGTTTTGGGGTTTTGGGGTTTTGGGGTTTTGGGGTTTTGGGGTTTT